GGGGGTTTCTTGCCATGTGCGCGGCCGCGCACGCGCGCCCCTTAGAGGGAACAGTGGAAGAGAGTGGTAGAAAAAGAATAAAAAGAAAAATTCCCCCACTGATTCTGTCTCAGTGATATACTCTCCATGTAGTATCTAACACATAATTCCCAACTCTCAGGAAAAAGCCTCCTCATTTCTGCCCCAAGCAAATGTGTGGAAGTGATTAAATATTCAATATTATGAATGTTAAAAGTACATGTTGGTAATTGTTAAGGTAATGATGATTTAATAGCTGACCAGCTGCTGTAAGGCTATAAACTGAGATGATGACATGAGGTTGAGTCAGCAGGGTTACTGCCACTTTAAGAAGCTGTATATATAAGGGAGGCCATATGAGTGTGTGTCTCTCTCTCTCCTTGTGTATTTTTCTCCTCGTGTTCTATATCTTAATTGTGGTTCCCCATGTAGAGTTGAAGATTGACTGCTTGCCTGTTATTTGCCTAACACAGTGGTAGTCAACCTGGTCCCTACCGCCCACTAGCGGGCGTTAGAAAGACAAAACCTCTGTGTACTGTATTTTGCTCCTGGGTTGTCTCAAAAGAGTAGTCACACTGTGCACACTCTGACAGTAATATATAGCTACATATAAAAATCTAACAATAATTGATCACATATCAATATTATAAATATAATAGTATATATTTGCAGTTTTCCACCCTCTAGTTTTTTATGAATATCATTCTTTCCTTTTCCTAACCAGAAATATTTCACTTGCAAACATGTTTTCTGCTAGGAGAGCTGGAAAATTATGAACAAAATGCTTTACAGCAATCATTGTTAGAAAGCAACCAGCCAACCTGGCACTAGCCTCAAGAGCTTTGTTCTTTGGATTGTACAGTTTGTTTTCCTAAATGAAAGTATGTGGTTGTATCGAACTAGGCTTCCAATTTGGAGTATGTGATGGAGGCTCTCCAGGAGCAAGCGGTAGCCACGCTAGAACCACCGCCAATGACATCTGCCTTTATGACTTCTTTCCATTCGAAACATTACAGTCAGATCTGGGAAAAGCTTTATCGTAATCCAGAACTCTATCAGGTAATAACAGAGACTCTATCTGACAGTTCTTCCTAGGCAGCAAATGAAACAAATGCATTTTGGCAAAATAAAATCGTGAACATTCAACACAAAAATAGTTTGTTGCGAAAGTGACTGCCTGCAAAGGCTCCTGGATTGGGGCTGAAAGGCGAAAGCAGAAGCAGTACACTCCATCCCATAGTTGAGTAGACCAGGTTGCCCTGATAGACCAGTCTCATCAGAAAAAACACTTATTATCTCATCAGAAAAAACACAAAAGATTTATATAATCTGAAGAAAAACAAGACTATGGGATTTTTTAGAGACTTTGCCCTTCTGGATCCAGAGAGATCAAAACTCTTGCCCATGTCCCTTTTATGATGCCCTATGACCATGATGGTGAACAAGTGGCATGCAGAGTCCTCTCTGCGGGCATGCGAACTGTCACCCCAGCTCAGCTCCACCGCACGTGCATGTGTGCCTCCCGCCAGCCAGCTGATTTTTGGATCTCTACCACACATGCATGGGACCGGGACACATCGGAGATGTGTGTGCATGCGCAGGGGTCATGCATGCATGCAGGAAGGGGTGCGGGGAGTGCCTGCTAGCCCAAAATGGGCCAAGGGGGGTGTGCAGCAATCCCCCCGCACCCTGTTTTTTGGTCCCAGGAGGCTTCAGGGAGGCCTGTTAGGCCCAAAAGAAGAGGGGATCCCATGCACACGTAGGGGTCGAGCACATGTGGTGGTGTCACATGCACATTGCATTAGGTGTGTGGGTACGCACAGGCGCACTGTCACGCACAGACACTTCCTTTTGGCACATGATGACAAAAAGGTTAAGCTTCACTGCCCTATGCCATCTGATCTCCCCAATCCTGTCTAAATAAAAGGGCCATATAAGTTTTATGCTTAGTATTTTTTAAGAGATGCTAACCCTATACTCCCATATCAAGTAGCTAATTCGTTTAATGACTGTTCAAAAATACAATGGCACTGAAAAAAACGAGTTATGACCATTGCAGCATCCCCATGGTCACGTGCTTGAAATTCAGATGCTTGGCAACTGACATATATTTATGATGGTTGCCGTGTCCCACGATCACGTTCTACAATTGTGCAGAATTTTTAATTAGATATGCTGCTTTATTATCTTGTTACTTTTCCCCTTCTCCATTAACTAATGGATGTATTAAACTATTTCCCTTTCCCCCTTTTATTGTAAAGACTGCATGTTGGCTGTTTTCACTTTCCTAAGTCATATGTTATTTAAACATAAGATTGAGGGAAAGGATTTACAGGTCCATTTTGTATTGGCATCCTTCAGTCTCAAAAGATTATGGTATCGTGCTCTGGAAAAAGGTAAAGCTGGAGTATTCTCTCCAGAGCACAAGGCCTGGGTAGATTACTATGGAGGATAGACTGTTACCCAAGCAGCAGATCCCCCCTCTCACCATCGCTGAAATAGTCCAATGGAGTGGCAGAGCAGATGCTGCATTACAGAAGTTACCAGAACGTGGTTGTACACAGTCACAAACTGTTTCCAGGACTCCGGCTCCGGATTTTGCCTCGAGGTTGACTCCTGGAGCCTTTTCCAGTAGTGGATGTACCCACAAGGCAGTGGAGGTTTGTAATCAGAGTTTTCCTTCTCCTAGAAGATGGTTCTGGCGCTTTATCTGCCGTTGAGGCATAGAGCCCTCTTCCGCCTTCAAAACCATTGACCGTCTTTTCCTGTAACCCTGGAAACCTGTCATCACTCACCCTTTGTCCTGGCTTGTGACAGGCAGAGCCTGGATTCCCAAATGTTGGGCCCAGGAAGGTGGGTTTATTTATAGGTCCATGTGTTCATAATTTCATATTTACTGTATGTAACATTGAAAAGCAAAGGTGTGTGTATACATTTGACCCTAACATTTCATCTACAGGGGCAGCAAACAAATGACAATAATAACAATCTTATGGTGGCAATTGATGGAAAAAGCATGGAAAATGTCAACTTTAGAGAAGGTTCTGCTTTTTCAGGAAAGAGGAAACATGGAAGGTAAAATTGATTGCTTATTTTCTTTGTGTTGAGATTATGCTCACACATGCAAACATGCACAAAGACAGATTTTGTATATATAGCAAGAGACAGTGATTAATATGTATGTCACTTAGTAATCTGGAAGCTTTGGGATTTTCCCTTTCCCATTAGACATTTCCATAATGAATAAATAATACAGCTGTGCAGGATTTCTAAAACAATGTGGGAAAAGCAGCTGGAAGTGCTTTGGGGCATGAATATAGCACTTTTATGTAGCAATTTCAAATAGCTGCAATTTACTATGTTTCCCCGAAAATAAGACATTCTTTCGATCCCTGAAATAAGCGCTTGGCATTATTTTCAGAGAGATCATATTATTTTTGAGGTGCAAGAGGCAGCAAGCGTGCTCACCTCATGGCTGCTGCTGTGTTGCAATATTTTCAGGGACAGCTTATTTTCAGGGGGGCTTATTTTAGCGCATGTGCTCAAAAGCCCGATTGGGCTTATTATCCGGGAAGGTCCTGTTTTCAGGGAAACAGGGTATTGGGCAATTGTTCTCTGAAGCTACTACCTGATATTAAGAAAATACATGGCTGATACCACCTGAGCTATCCAACAATCTGTCTGATTCATCTTCCTTTCATTTAACATCTAACCCTGTATTCAAAAGCTGGTAATCTAAAGCCAGTCATCAATAAATAGGTCTCTTTCATATGTTCCTGGTACAATTTTCTGACCTATCTGTATTGCTCCTATAAATGAACTTCCCGTAGGCAGCAGAGTTCCCCACCAACTTTCCTACCATAGATAGTAATGGGATAGTAATGGGATGCTGATATCAGAGAATATTTGTGGCTCAGGACAGAACTGTAGGGTCTTTGGTGCTCTCTGAGCTTAGTGGTTTTCTTACAGACATTTCATTACCAGACTAGGTAACATCATCAGTGCCAGTGCTAGCGGGAGTTCCAGTTCTTTCTTAGGGTAATGCTTCAAGCTAAGCTTCTATCTACTTTTCTTCCCCAATTATCCCTTTATAGATGTTTGAGTACAGAATTTAGGTAGATGTGTCCACTTTGAAAATTCTTTTTTCCTTTAATCATCCAGAGATTTCATTTTTATTTCGGATAAAATTGCATACACTGTTCTGTTTTCTCACTAACTCATTCATTCTTGAATTTCTTTGTTTATCCTAGTCCACAATTAGTTCTTCAGCAATATTAAAGGTGCAAGTTCTTGTCAGGCAGGAAGAGACATGTATGATTAACTATATGATTTAGGAAAGAATGGGACGGAGATATAGATACGTCCTTGATTTACGATTGTTTGCTTAATTACCATTATAAGTTGTGATGGACTCAAAAAAATTCATGTACGACCTATCAAACACACATACATACACACACCACAGTCATGTGATCACATTTATGGTGCTTGGCAACCAATCTGTATTTACAACCAATTGCAGGATCCCAAGGTCACATCTTGTAACTTTTTGGCCATTTTCTGGCCAAAAAAACTAAAAAAACACCCATTGATAAGCAGGATTTGAACTTACAACCATATGATTCATTTAATGACCATGGTGAACCATTTAAAAATATTTGTAAAAACAGTCGTAAAATTGAATCCGATCATGTGGGTGATCCACCTTACAATTGCAATGATTTATGACCAAAATTCCTAATTCAACTGGGGTCGTAAATTGAGGATTATCTGTAGGTTAGAACAAACATTTCATATCCTATACTGTAAATATTACAAAAGCTGAAGGTGCTATTCCTTGACTTCTACTCCTTGGCATTTTCAGATATCGCAAGCTTTCCACAAGCATAAATGATAATGGCATTTATATGGTTTTTCATAAATTCTCCTTATTCTAATCTGATTGCATCAGAATCCATCCGTTCTAATTATTGTTCTGGTACAGAGGCATTCTATATAAGTGAATTCGGTAGGAAATTTACTTCTAGGAAGGAAATATAAAGAGATTATTTAATTTAGATATAACAGAAAATCTGTCTGAGCTACAGTAATGTGATTTAATTTCTCTTTCTTGGAAAAAAAAACCTAGCGAATTGACTGTCTCAGAGCTGCTGAGTTTAGATGAAGACCTGGAAGCCCCCAACAAAGACAATTCCATGAGAAAAGGTGGATACTTGTCTGTCCTTTATTTACGCCACTTGAGAATCAGAGAATTACAGGTAATTAAAAAAAAAAACAGAAACAGGGCTGTATAAAAGCCCGAGGCTGTGTATTTTAGCCAGTTGATATTGTTATCATCATACTCATCCTTGTTTAATCCCATTGACATCGATACCAGAGAATTTGCTTGGGAATCCTCAACTATTTCCGATCCATTGAAAGAACTTTGACCATCAGCACCTCAGGTCTTGCCTCGTGCAGCGGACATCTGATCTCCACTGCAGAAGATGCCAGCTGGGTGAATGCAGCCAAAGGAGGCACTGGAGCCTTTGGGGGTCTCAGCTCACATTCTTACATGCATTACACTCCAGCTGACTATAAGGTGAGGCTTTGGTCACACTAGAGCAGAATTCCCCCACCTTTCCGACTTTGTGGGCTGATGGGAGGGAGGGGCATGAACAGTGGGTAACCATTTGCATGTCTGTTGGGCGTATATGCCTGCTGCTGGCACAAATGGAGTGTGCCCACAGACTTGGGTGCTGCTCACGCAAGTGGGGATGTCTGTGGCCTGGTTCTGAATGGCTCAAGGTCCAGTAGTGGGGGACCCTGTATTAGATAATATTTTCATAGTCATAGATCTTTAAAAATAAAACATTAGGCCCAGTATATTGTCTTTAGGAAAATTCCCAGTACATTTGCAAGAGGAAATGGGCAAAGTAATAAAGTCCAAACCCGAATTCCAAGACCATCCAAATTATGTAGGGTTTCATTGGGTGTTTTACTTTTGACCCAGAGCTTAAATTTCTTATCTGTCAGAATGCCAGTTCCAAAATAGAAACAGTAAACCAGTGCATAAAGGAAGAAAAAAACAACTTCCGGTTCTCTGAATATTAGTCATGCAAGTCTGAGTTTATTTGAGGAAGGTCTACTAATGGGCTTAATTCTGTAAGCCTAAGTATTCTGATCAGCCAAGTATAAAATACAGGTAGTTCTTGATTTACAACCACAATTGGGACTGGAACATCTGTTGCTAAGTGATGCAGTCCTTAAGTGAGTTGCAGTTGATTTTATGTCCTTTTTTGCCATGGTTGTTAAGCAAATCACTGCGATTATTAACCGAATCACATAGTCACTAAGTGAATCCCACTTCCCCCATTGATGTTTCTTGTTGGAAACCCTCTGTGACTGTGGTAAATGTTGATCATGTGATCTTAGCATATTGCAAGTGTTGTAAATACATGTCAGTTGCCAAGCACCCGAATTTTGATCACATGATCATAGAGATACTGCAACAGTTGTCAGTGTGAGAACCGGTCATAAGACATGCTGTTGTTACTTTCAATGGTCATTAAACAAATGGTCATAAGACGAGGACAGTATGCTAAAACTAAGTTCATACATCCCACTAATCCATAATCTTGGTTTGTTGGACAAGACTTAGTGATTTGGTTCATACATGGTGCTAAGACATAAATCTTCGTTTACAAACCAAACTAGCCTAGATTGCATTAAGCTCAGTTCAAACAAACCACATTCTATGTGAGGGGGACTTCAGTTCCTGCTAGAAACGCAGAGGAAAAAACTAGTCAGAGCTTCAAAATATTTCAATATGAACCTGAGTGAATGGATATCAGTTTATCCCTTCTAGCTACAACCTGGATGAATGGATAAGGAATAAGAGGTTTCTTAAATTTAAAGGGTGATGGATTGTGGATCGGAGGCGATCCCGGTGGGCTAAAAACCTCCGAAGTGCACAACTATTTGGTAGTGGATTTATTGGTCAGCGGTGATGTTTTCTTTTTAACATCGATGGCTCCACAGGTCCAAAGTGTGCAGTTCATGGAGTTTGCTGAGGTGGAGAACCATGATGATTTTTACACCGTTGAAGAGGCCTACATTCATACGCAGGATCAGAGAGGGGCTTTTGTCATGTATGATGTGGCCCTGCAAGACCTGAAAGAGACAGAAAAGCAACTTTTGCTCGTGGCAAGTCAGTACATTGAGGTGGAAAAAGGTAAGGCCTTTATACAAACTTGGGCCTGAAATATCTCTGATATTACCAATAGTTGAGGGATAGAAACTATCACAAAAAGCAGCCATCCCCAAAAGAGAAATTACTTAGTACACTAATAATAGAACCAAAGATAGTTGTTTTGAAGTAATTCTTGGAGAAGTAGCTCCAGAGGCACTGCTTGTTTGAAACTTTAACCTTACTGGTCATTCAGGGTCACTATTTATTTGTAATGCATCTGTAATTGAGCATACAGGGGTGGGTTCCGGCAATCACTACTGCTGGTTTGCTTGTAAGTAGGCCCCGCGCGCATGCGAAGAGCAATAAAAATTGCTTTGCACATGTGTAGAAGCAAAAACACAATGGCAGCACCTAGGGCGCTGTTCGGAAAACCAGCATGGCAGGCCCGGGTCACTTCCAGTTCCAGCGACCCAGGCCACCAAACTACTACTGGTTCGGCCGAACCGGTCCAAACCGGTAGGTACCCACCACTGAAGTATACCTATATTGATAATTTTCAGTTCTGTGAAGCAGGAAAATCTTGATAACAGAGAGGCAATTCACTGCTTATGTTTTATTTGGGCCTCATTAACTGCAAGTGTTTGTGACTGCTTGAATGTGTTATTGCTGGGTTGAAGTCCTTTGTGTTATCTTTTTCTTTCTGAGGCCAGAAAGCAGGGCCTGATTCCTCTAGCAACCGCTACTCAAGGCGGGCAGAAACATCAGTGGATCGATCGGCAGTCTTGCTTGACCTTTGGACTTGTGAAGCAGATTTCTTAAAAGATAAGTGGCAGGTATACATATTCACGCTTCATTGGTCTTCTAAGAAATCAAGGAACCCCCCCCCCCAAAAAAAACCCTGTAGAAAGTAAGAAAGATGACTTTGATGGTTCACCGACAAAACCGCGAAGCCCTTATCCGCACCGACATAAGCGTGGAGGGCAAATCCGCGCCTTCCGAAGCACTCAGCACCCTAAAGCTAACCCTAAAGCTAACCCTAAAGCTAACCCTAAAGCTAACCCTAAAGCTAACCCTAAAGCTAACCCTAAA